GATGCATTGGATAATGTTTTAAAAAATTTTATTTGAGTTTCAATTACAGCCTTGTTCATACATTACCACACTTTCCATTCAACTGTTGCCCTACAGGAGTTAACTGACAACAGGGGGTGATTTGGAGCCATAAAGAAAAGTGAGTGAGAGATTTCTAAAAGATCTGTGTCCATCCAACTGGCTGGGTGCATGTGAGGATTAATAGCCTCCACCCGTCAGTCACAGCACAGACGACTCAAGTTTTTGACTCTGGAGTACACGGCAGACTTCTGAGCATAGGGAAATGTTAGTGAGTGCAAGCATGCATGGGTAATGGAGGGGTGCTCTGGCTGAAACCGATGCAGCCCATTAGTGCGCATCAATACAAATGTTCAGCCAAAACCGCCATGACAACTGCAGACCAAACCCAAAGCATCCAGTATCACACTGAGACCTCATAAACTCTGTCCCTGCCCACTTTCACTGGTGGTCTGAGACACAAAAATCAGACCCACTAGTTTTCACTGATCTCAGGACACCTGTCCACATTTCTGTCTGTCTGTGTTGATTCATTAATAGTAGGTGGATAATGTTTTTGGTAGATTTCCCCCTTAGAAATACTTAACTTAAAGACAGCAATAGTATGGAGGACAGGAACTACATAAACTCTATTTAATTTAAAGTGAGGATGACTGGTTAAACTCAGATTAAAGGATGTATGGTACTCATCTTTTGTCATTATAGGCTGTTCTGCTATAAACGTTGACATGGCACAAAAATAAGACCTAAATATTGTTCTATTTTTCATCACATAATAAAATTCTAAACAACAAATAACATATTATTTATTTGACCAGATCTTAAAACAAAAGATTAGGAAAATCCAAATCCTGTCCCCAGAGGAAGTAGTTGAGGTTGGACTTTTAAAAAAGCAAACACATTCTTCACCATGGCATCTCCTCTCCGTTCACTTTTCCTTATAATAACAATTGCAATTAAGAAAGATGATATGAGAAACACAGACTGCATACTCTCAGCTATCACTGCAGAAAGAAAGCTCTGTTTTTCTGTTTCTCTCATTAGTGATTAGGTGTCCGTTATTGACAGAACAATAGGAACATTACCGATTAGCTCTGTTGCCAAACTCACTCATTAGGGGCAAGACAAAGTCACATTTTCCTGTTTATACAACTTGCTTCCTACATTGAAATCACTAAATGGATGTTTCCTTTATGTTCTGCATTAACGCTGCAGTTTTTGAGTGACTGGCCCTTGTCAGCCTGGTTTACAAGAGAAGAGTCTTAATGCTTCAAGGCTGACTGTCGGGTCTCATTCCCTTAGGTTTGACTCACTTATGCTTTGTCTGCTGCCTGTTGTTGGTGTTTAACTGTAATGGCGACGAGGGGAAACAAACAAAAATATTCTGCAGTTCCACTCTGATGCCAGGAAAGGTTAATGGTTAAAAAAATACTGGCTCTATGAAATTAATTTGTTTGAGTAAACTAATTGCCTGCTGCGCTCTTCCTCACTATGGATCTAAAAACAAATCACTCCAGCTGTGCAATACTAGAAACCACCTTAGCACCGACAGCCCAAGTGCATCTTCTCCAGAACGGTTCATTTCTTCTGGACAATGTAACAATAACAATAGCCGCAGATGCACATAGCTTTCTCCGTCAGTGCAGAATACTCCCGCCTCGGCAGTACCCCTACTTCTCTCCTCAGAAATGTAGGTGCAGGGGGCTTGGCTAGCCTCCACTCCTGTTATGGAGTGCGATCGCTATGGAAACCAAACACATTGCCATGGCAACTCTGGGAAACCTTTAAAAGATTAGTGTTATATAAGAACAGCTGTGTGCTAGAAGCCAGTCAGTGTCACAAGGCGCAGAATGGTGTGTTACTCATTTTACTTTCGAGTCAAAATATCTCAGTGTCTTATTCAGTGCTTTCAAGACATTCAACGTACTCTGTATTAAAAAAATCAAACATCTAATTATTAAAATAAAATACTGCAGAGTTCCCACGGTTATAAACAATCTCATTCAAATTACATGACCTGGTTATAATCACAACACATGGACTGTCACTGAAATGCAGGAAAATCAAGACGTCCTACTGTTTTATAAATGCACTTGATCTGATTCAAACTGAAAACTCAAGTCCAGAAATGTCAGTGTATACAGAGGCAAGTGTCATTTTGCATCAGTGAGTTGGTGACAACCAGCAAGTGCTCAGGTTCTCAACTTGAACCCTCTTCAAATGTTGTACATTACAGGCAAAACCTCTCAGACTTTAACTTTTTGTTAACATGTGAAAATGTTTTCTGGGATCTGGTCTTAGGTCTGTTCTGACCAGAACCCGGTGCCCTGTAGGTTTGAAAAGCATTTAATCGTCTCCAAACATGAAAAGGAACGAAAACTGTTTTGAAGTATTTTTTCTTTAAATCACCTATTTAATTAAAGCCAGTTGTCGGAGTAGCAGACGAAAGTAACAACAAATTCACCCTGTTTGAGATTCTTTCTATAGCAGCTTTGTAATGCTTTGAAGACCTAATGCAGAGTTAACACTGTGAGGACTGTCTGTGTACTGGGGGTGACATAATATGTAACAGCATGTGCACATTTAAAGCTGCTATTTCTGCCACCGTTTTCACTGTGAATGTAGGAAACCCTTTTTTCCCTTTGTCTCTAAGCAACAGGAAAACATTGTGATGATGGATAAAGGAAGGGATCCATGAATTACAGTATAAACCACCTGAGAAATCAGAGAGGACACTTTGATTTGTCATTAAAAGCTTGTGTTTTTGCAATTCATGCTTTAAACGTATCAAAAGGGAAACTGCAGCCAAATGATGAAAACATTTCAGTTGGTTACACCATCTCCCACAGGACCCTGAATGTGCTCGTTGTACTGCCTGTTATAAACTTTGTGGCGGACGACAGCAATTTAAATTGCTTTACTTAGACTAAAGGTAGCATTCACAGGAAACTAATGGCTTCACCGAAAGAGCCAGGAGCCAAACCCAAGAGGATGTCTCAACATGGAGAACATCATATATCTCACTGTCAGGAAACTGATATATATATATACTGTATACCTCAGAACCCTGTCCTGAGCCCAGTGATTTCCCCCCGATTGTAGCTGGGCAGCATTATTTTAAAAAGTGTCTGTATCCACCCTGTTAGCTTGGGTAGGGTATCTGCACTTGCAACCCTGACTCAAGTGGGTTTTATTTTTGCAGATTGTATTAACAGATGATGTCTCATTAAATGCTTTCTGAGATATTTAGCATTTCTGCAGTGGAACTACTGACCCAACACTTACTTGCATGTGTGAATTGAATACCTGACCAATCAGGGGTCCTGTTCACACCTGACATTAGCATGTGTCTTGAGTAATCACAAGTGTACAGCTCTGAGTATTTCAGTTCACACCCAGTGTTAGAACGTGTTTTCACATGTATCTTGAGAGACTACATGTAAACAGGTCTTAATTCCCCTAAATATGCAAATAAGCACATACAGCATTACCATTTGTAAAGACCAACTGTGTTGTTTTTAGTTGAAAGTAACAATACACTCCCAGTGTCTAGTGTAATAGTTAAAAGAAGAAATCCACACAATACAGACTGGGTATATTTGTTGGTGTGTTCCAGGCCAATCAAACCACACATTATTAAAACATAACCATAGCCCCACAGCCATTTCAAAATGTTCAGACATCTTGGACAAAGCCAGCTTACGTGATTTGGGAACCAACTGATTATGAATGAGTACACAATTCAGATGTGGCCTAGAACACCATTGGAGTGTGGTCAGAGCAATAGTTCCTCAATGCACTTTGGATGCACTCACATCTGTAAAATTGGATGACCCAAGATGCATTAACAGGGCGACGGCCTACAAGGATGATGAACATCTACAAATCCAAAGAGGAAAATGAACAGGACACTGTTGCATTGAACAAGGGGAGGATTTCCTCCACATGACTGACTCAGACTTGTGTGTTGACCTTTAAATGACACCACTCAATACAGATGTTTCCATTCTCCGTGGAGGCAGAAATGAGGTAATGAGAAAGAGAGAATACAAATAAGAGATGCTATGTAGAGGGGAGCACCAGACTCCCTGCTCAACCATTGCATAGCTTTTAGTAAACTTTACACTGCTCTGCATACTTTGTGAATGCTCCAATTTTATCACAATTATCTTTTGAAAGACGGAAGCTTGCATTAAAACATCTTTTCAGCATGACTAAGCTCTATAATAAAGACCCCTTCAGTTCTTTCCAATAATATGCCAATCAAACAATCGCTAATGAAAAGATCATTGTGTGTGAAAAAAGATGGCCTCAAAGTCTGCATTGGTCTCTGTGTAAGTGTGTGTGTGTGTGTGTGTGTGTGTGTGTGTGTGTGTGTGCGAACAGCTGGTGTTTCAAGCATTTAGCAGACATTAAAGACAAGCACTCAGGCAGGGCTCTTTATATCTCTGAGCTGGATGCCTGTCATTACTCGGGATGAAGAATCCACGAGCAACTGCACTTTAGTGTGTGTGTCAGACTACCATGACTGGTAGGAATGGTTTAGGTGTCATTTTAGCACTGCCCCGTGTATGGCCCTGCACACTAGACAGTAATTTGTGCTGTTATTTACAACTTGACCAATCGATGTGTATGTTACCGACTTCACGTTTCAAACCACACTGCTTTAAGAAGACATGGAGATTTTGTCCTGTAGCAACATTACTTATAATGCTCTGCATCGATTTTTGTGCCATTATATTTCCACAGTAGGTAAATCACACCATACTGCATAAAAACTGCATTTTGGTGCATTGTTAATTGGAGAATAAATGACAATTAGCCATTTAATGTAATTCTCCAGCTAGAGGTTGCACCAACCGATCATTTTCCCATTGACTCATATGACGACCATTTTCTTAAGCTTTGTTTGCTCTGAAGTCAGATGAACTGGCCCAAACCTTTAATGAAGGAGTCACATTAGCATTAACTCACCTACCCACTAAGTTACATTTACTCTTATTCCATCCAGGCATCCAGCAAAGAGGAACTTGACTGAGAGTTTAGAGAAATCTTAGTTCAAATCAGATCCCCAACTAGTTTGTAAAGTAATATGACAACTTCCAGGTTGATTTCAATATGGCAGCTCTGGAAAAATCCTCTTAGCCGTAAAGTAAGTAAGCTTCACCTCTGATGACAGTCAGAATGGAAAATGCATTATCTCTCACTGCCTGCCAGGGCTAGGCTAGATGCTGTGTTGTGTTAGCAGGCGAGTACAGTGGCCTGAGGTTTATCTGGCTGTCGCATGTCATATGGGACATAGTGGAGGGAGATGGCTCTCTGAAACAACACACCCCTCCCTGTACAGTTTCCCTCATCTCATCCTCTGGCCTGCACTATCATTTGCACATCTGTGAAGCCGTCTGCTGGATAAATATTTGACCCAAACACAGAAACATATACCAGCATGATATTTACTGACCCCTTCAGTGTGAATGCAAGCTTGAGAATGATTGTTTTACATTTTCTGACAGAAAAAAACCTTCCTGAAACACTGCTAAGTGATCACACATGGAGAGGGAGGAAGGAAAGAGTGATATAGTGAGAGGACTTAAAATGAGGAACACATTTTCAGCTGCACTGCAGTTAAGGGTGTGGGCGTGGGGAGTGGGAGTAAAACAAACATAGAGCTCTGTATCTGGAGTGTGTATGTGTGTAGTAGTGTACAAGTGTATCGAGGGTGGCAACATGGAGCCAGACTGACAGAGCCAGGCTGTCTCCTTTGGGAGTTTCACTCATTCTAAGAGAATTACCAAATGCAGGGAGTTACTATCCATCTAACTCACACACATACTCACACTTTATCTTGGCTGTTTGGTTCGTTAATCCTTATACTGGTATGAATTGGAAATGACTTCACTGTGCACTTTCGAAAGAAGCTAGACACGGGAAGAGCTTAGCATTATCTTCTTCAGTTTGAGCCTAATAACAAACAGCTGAATGTCAGTCAGCAGGACACATTAATCCATTAACAACAGATTAACTAACAGCCAGGTTAAATACCAGCTTTCACTTTAAAGATCTTTAAGTGCAGGGGTTCTCAAAGTGGGGTACGAAGACCACCAAAGGATCCTTGAGGGGGAATCATTTATTTTCAATATAATCTCATCCATAAGTGGTGGAATCTATGACAAGTATGTATGTCTTGGTGCTAAATTACATACAAGTCTTGTAATAAAACATATAAAACCTTGTCAGATGGGGGTCCATGGTCTCGTTTTAATGTCTAAGAACCATCACAAGTTCCCAGAGCCCGTGAAAACTGCATGATCAATCCAAATCATGAAGATATCATGAAGATGGTAAACATAGATTAGGCAATGTCCCAAGGGGGTTACTAATGCACCCTACTCTATCTAATGCAGTGTTGCTATTTCCTTTGTGCTGATTTGCAAAACCTTCTTCCACTTAAAACCCGATGTCCACGCGTGTCAGTCTGCAGGACATAGTGTCTGTTGTCTGACCTCACACAGGAAACTGCTCCATCACCACAGAACCGAGCACAAACCAGATCCCCCTGCTCCAACAACAACAACAACAACAACAACAACAACAACAACAACAACACACAGAGTTCAGAAACATGTGTGTGTTACTGCACCGACCTGAGCAGCACAACAATCCAATGACTCCGATGTAAAACAACGCAAACACGGGCCCTGCTCTGCAGCTTGCTAACAACACCAGGAGCGAGTGAAGACACACCCGCGTACACAACCGACCGTGCCGTGGCCCTGGGCTGATTTTCTCCTCCACAAGAAACCGTCAACAACTCTACAAAGAACAGGGATGATCGTCTGCACGGTTTAAAACCAGCTGGAGCAAACCTCCACGGAGCAAACACAACACGTTAGCATCACAGTGCGCGCTCGTCACTTTGAACCGACATGGCACGAACATTGAAACACACAGATGGGCCATGTTGTTTCCGACAACGAGCGGCTGTTTCCGGGCTTACCCTCTCTGTGAAGACGCGGGGGAATAGAAACGAGGCTCGGTAGAAGATGGACGGTGGTGTTCTCCGTCTCGGGGTGTTTTGTTGATCCGCTGCCCGGTGGCTTCAGAGCGGGTTTATCTCTGCGCTGCTCGGCTCTGCGTCGTCGCTCCGCCCATCCGCCATCAAACCTGCTTGGGTGCGGCCAAACGGGGGAAACTGCGGCTCGCCATTGGCCAACACTGAGGCACGTGATAGCGCCGTTGCCGTGATCGGAGAGAAGCGATTGGTGGATGAGTTGGGAACCCGCCCACCACCCGCAGCATTAGGTTTAATGCTGAAAGCTAATTAGCTTAGCACAGGAGCTGCAGCATGGTGCAGATATAAAGTAGATAGCAATACTTTTTATTATATTATGTATCATATTTATATTATACTGTCGTATACCTGTCTTATTAATACTACACCTGTTTTATATAGTAGTTTTATTGAACATTTTCAAATGTGTATGGCACAAATCAATAAATAAAGTATTATCTAAATAAAATGATAAGCAATAGACAAAACAGTAAAGAAACAATAACATTGTTTATGAATAATAATAATGAATAAACAATTACATTAACAATTATATTTATATATGTATACTGTAGATCAAGTCCATTGTATTGAGTTTAAAGGCTTGGGTGTAAGAGGGATATTCCTTAAGAAACACTGAAAGTGCCAAGCAACCACCAACACCTATTGTCTTCATTTCTAATCTTATTTTAAATATCTTCATTCACTATTTATTTAATTAGAGGAAGGGGTTTAACACATCATGAGGTAATTTCATCAACTAGCTTTTTAAACATGTATGTAAAATTGTTTTATAAGAATAGGAACATCAAAAAAGGGAAACAATGACACCTGAAGTGATAAGAAACCTGCACTTTCTCCTGACCTCTCTCAAAAGCAAAAACAATATGTGGTTTTGTGAAGTTTATGTTTTCATAGTTCAATACCAGTGTAGCAGAGGGGCTCATGTTGGCTCTATGGTGCATGTCAAGTGGGCTATTTTTAAAACTTTCCTGATTGCACTCGAGGTCAAAGACATCACACAGTTCCTGCTGAACACAAACACTGAACAGTAGATCTAAATTGTGCACAACCTTAAAAAAATATATTTCAACCACCCACCAGGGGGCGCAGTTAATTTTCCACATGCTCACTGTGTCTTACAAGTGTAATACCTTCATGGTCTCATGTGTAGCAGCACCGATTTATTATTTACTACAACACAAACTGCGCAGATGGGCACAATTGTAGGATTTCAATACTAATATGTTATCCATAAGGCACTTACATAATAAACATTAAGGTGACGTGTTTGAGTCTTGCCACTAGATGGTGCTGCATTGACACAGAACTCGCACAATACTGACGTTACTTCCTGAAGTCGATGAGAGAAATAGAATAACCAAACTGACCAGTTCATACACTGAGTCACCAAATTATTAGGTACACCTATAGCTGAAATATCATTACACATGATTGTGTTTTATATAATATCTCATCCAGTCTAATGCTCAGTATGTGTTGAAACAGTTTTAGAGAGGGAATCATTTGTTTTAATTGAGGAGATATGCAGTTTGTAATATATTGCATTGCACTGTGTTTCCATTAATTAGTTCATCCCATTTATATTGATTGGGATCGGATCAATAACAGAAACACCTCTATGTATAATACAATAGAAGTAAACAGTTTAAACATAAACTAAACTGTGAGCTTCATTCAGGGTGGTTAGGGTTAGGGTTAAATGCAGGGCTGTTATATTATGTATCATTAGCTTTAGTGAACCTAGTAATGGACAAGTGGGTGTTTATTATGTTATTATAAGAAATCGCAGTGTGATGTGTCATGTATTTTTACTCAACAAGGAAAGTGGAAAAGTAAGCTTCAGAAGGCACAGGCCATGGGTTACTGCTTAAATGAGAAGCACACAAAACTGTCTTTGTCCACTTTGGTGCATATGCGTGACTGTGTCTGGTTTGAAGTAGGAAGGACGGCCTGCTTCCTCAGACACTATTTCTATCCAATGGGATTCAAACCACCTGCTCAACAACAATCTTAGCAGGTGTGTGGAAAAAAAGAAATCATATGAAAGTTGCAGTTAAAGCAACACACAGCACAAGCAGAATCTTAATGTTCAATTCTTTTATATAAGGTTAACATGGTGGACCTTGTGGTGTAAATCTTGTCCCTTACCAGTTGACACACACATGCACTCTCCACTTTGACTGATCTCAGACCAGTGCTGGCCCTTCCAGTGTTGTGAATAATTGTGGCCTGCCTTGTAGCATGGATACACCAGCTAGGGACTCTAAATATATCACACTGGTGTGTCTGAAGGGCTCGGGCATGAAGATCATATACTTACACTTGAAATCTACACCTTGCTCGTCCATTGTGTGTGTGTGACTCTGTCCATGTCACATTTACATGCTGGGCGTCTATCTGATGAAGTTATCGGGAGTGGCATTAAAATAGGGTTCACTGTGAAGTGGATTTGTGTCTCTGCGTTTGCATGTCCCTCTTTTTTTAACATCTGCACTTTGAGCATTAAAATTTCATTTATACGCAGAGCAACAGTAAAGTAAAAGCCAACAAGTAACTCTAAGAAAGAGCAAACTGACCAGACAAGAAGGGTCTACAAAAACAGAGACATTTCTAGAAAACAGATACGTAAATAAAATATGTCTTCGGGAATACATATCGGCCTAAGTGGCAACAAATCATTTTAGCTCCAGTATTATGTTTGGGTTTCAGCACACATTCCTCGGTCACCTGTTTTCTCTTAGCAGCACATGTCAGAGAGCGGGTGAAGATAAACCCAGCTGCTTTTCGTATTCATTTCAGGCAGCACTTACCGTCCCCTTTTAACTGCAGCCAGCCTTCACCTCTAAGCTCTCAAATCACCATGGGCTGATATGAATATAAACAATTTGTAGTTTAGCCCATGATGCCTGGGAGGGTTAACATATTTAAGGATGTGGCTTCATTCTACTTTTAAAAAAGGACATAATAGACTTATTCAAGCTCAACTGGGCAGGTAAATTTCCCTACATTTGTTATTCAGCGAGCCCACAAAGCAGCCACAGAGGTACGTAGCGACGCTGTTCTGTCTTACGCCAGCAGCAATCTGTCTTTGACTCAAAGATGGTATTGTATTTGGCCCGCAGTGCCATGGAAAGCCCCACTCCCTCCTCCTCTGCCCCCTGCACAATAAGACAAGGGTCAGCCTGTCTTCCCTTCCACTGTGTTTTTGATTCACTTCTCCTTTAGGAAAATGTTGTGTAACCTTTGACCTCCAGCGATGACTTTTTAAACCCCCTGGCTCCACCCACAGAGTCTCCTTCAGCCAGCGCTTCAAGGTAGCGGATTCCTTACCATGACTGAGGACTCAGTGTCCTTGGATGTCTGGAAATCTGGGAATTTCAATGACATGCTGATCTGGTGTGGGTTGATTTTGATAGTACTCAGACACTCAGAAACATCTCTTCAGTGTGATTGTGATTACCACACAAATGTATAGCAAAGTATTTGAACAACATTTAGTCAATAATGAGAGACAAAAATATAAATTTAATTTGTGAATAATATATACAAATACCAAGAAAAAGAGACTTTCAACCATTGCTCAGATATTTGGAGTTCTGCAAGATGGAATTTGGGCGTTGACAGGGCACGCTGGCTACGACCTTGTTCTTCGTGTGAAATACAAAGAAAGGTCACTGAAAAAATATAGCCTACGTGCACCATCTTGCTAACAGGAAGTGTGAATTGTCATCACCCTTTTGCAGCTGTCTATTATGGTTGTAATGGTGTTGGAGGAAAGATCCAGGTCCTGTTTAAGGAAGAGTCACAGCGCAACAATGTGAAACCACCCGACTACAAGTTCAAGTTCTACATTTACAATGTAAGAGAATAAAAGGTTTTAAGAGCCTCTTAACCAGATGCAAAAATGAAAAAACTAATTTCTCCCGGTTAAAAAGCAGCATCATTTATGCAGAAGACTCTGATGAAGATGTCAAGAGTCTCACATATAAGAATACAAATCCGTCACTTCCTGCCTCTGTCTGCTGCACCCGGCTTCTCCACCTCTCATCTGAACAATGTGGAGGATTTGTTGCTGATGTGAATGTGTCTGTGCAGAAAACCCCTCCGCTGTGTTTTGCACGTGTGAAAGGCAGACGCTGGATAACTTTTACCCGGAGTTCATATCTGAAAACGACAGTAGACTGTAAATAAAGGTGGATGACAGCTCCTCAAAAGTGAAGCCAAAGCATCTTGATCGCCCCTTGGTGACTGGCTGCAGTACAGGTCATAATTTCTGCCTCCTCCATGTTAGTGGGTGTACTTAGAACAGTCTATATATACATATATGGATACATCTATTTCGATATCTTCTTATACTAATTTACAATTTACAAATTGCTTTTGAATCGCTTCTTATTTTTTGCTTTTTAACTGTTTCCTATTGTTTGCATACAATCTTTTAACTTGTAAAGCACCTTGTAATTGTGCTGTGAAAGGTGCAATATAAATAAAGTTATTATTAGTAGTAGTAGCAGCAGTAGTTCTATGGTTATATTTTGTGCAAATAATCCAACCTGCAAAGTTCTGCAAAGTAACTCAATTTGTCATGTAGCTGTAATGGAGAAGAAGAATACGCCTCCAGGTTGAATGTGTTGAACTTTGTGGAGGGTACCTTCCTGTGCACCACCGCCTCCACCCTGAGCCCTCCCCCCTGTCTGTTGATATCACAGCCCGGAGAGGTTTGAATCCGCTCCCTGGCCCCAGTCGCCGCCATGCTGAGCTGAGGGAGAGCGAACCCACCAGACCTCTGTCACGCTGCTGCTGCCGCAACACTCATCTCCACAAACACCGGGACGAAGACCGGAGCTAACCCCGCGGTGAGTACCACACCGGCGGCTTCAGTACTCACAGTTTAATTTACGCTTCGAGGAAAAGTAGCGACGACGCGATTGTGCGTGGAGTTATTTCATCCTGCTCCTCCTGCTCGTACTCATGCGTGCTGTCGCGGAGTCCAGCTGCACTTGTTGCACTGTGCCCCCACCCACCGACACTCAAACCAACAAACACACGCACATTTTATCACTTTCTTTCCTAACTTTTTCACTTTTATGCGTTGAAACACGTT